CTGTTAGTTGGCAGAGTTATTTGATAACGAATCGAACTGATTGTGTTCTACATAAACTAGCTAAAGATAAGTATTAGCTTTGGTTTTAGCGGAAAATCAACTTACCCTTTATTCAACAACTGTAGGGCACTGGTCATTCCAACCACTCCGCCGCCAATAATCAGCACACGAGTAGCTTTCTGAGGGCTCTAGAAAACGGTAAAACAATTAACGTTTTTGTTTCTACTTTTTACAAATTTCCTTTTAATAATCAAAATCCGAAGAAAAAAATTATTTTCTTTTCTCTCGTCATCTTTCACATCTAAGGGAGTGCGGACTTACTTTAATCTTGGCTAAGTTGATAAACTACATTTATTTTTGGTTTAGACATGATATTACACAGTTCGGTATTTTGCAAAACGAGGTCTTTAAAAGAAAACTTGAGATCTCTTCACTGAAATTGTTCCCAACTCTATCTTTCATGTGAAAAATTCTAACCTTGAGTGTTTTGGAGTTGTCCGTGGTTGTTGTAAACTGCAAAGCCATGTTTTCTGAGTCGTCTCGATTCCTTGTCAGGATGATCTCTTGATTTTGTCTTCTCGAGTCTTCGAGGTGATTTGTTCTACTTTGGCAATACGCTCCGTATTTATAACAGTGTTATACGGGTAGGTATTAAAAATTCGGAAGTTCAACAATACAAATACCTCCCAAAGCGTGACGTCAAAGATTCCTACTTGCATAATGACGTAGCAACCTATTACACGTTGTCACAAAACAAACCAATTGCGTTTGTCACGTTCTCGAAAAGCTAAAATATTATTAGCCTTTTGTTCTTAGGTTGCTGGGTGCGACAGTCCAAATTAATGTATTACACTCAAGTCATAAATGACTCCATTTCACAGGATTCTTGTCAATAACAGACCATACATAGCTACTCTTGCATGCATGAAACATACTTTCCAGGGATCAAAACAGAGTAGCATACAGGAAACATGCTTTCCAATGATCAAAACAAGTGTTACACAATGTAAAACTCTTTTTATATATTCATCTAGTCATTTTACTCTGACGAAGGTAAACAGAACGTAGCCGGAAATTTAGTTTTTATACTTTTCCGTTATTTTTAGGTCAGATCCAACATTTTTTATTGCTTTCTAATTCTTCGCTGGAAAAGTTTTTCGCGATGGCTTGTAGGGTGGCAAATCGTTTAAATTCAATTATTGTCCGTCGTATGCGTGATTTAGAGTCTGACTTAGCATTTCATTGATTCGCTCAATCGACACTCAGAGTTAAATAATTGATTGACAGCTATTACATTTTTCCTTCCTCCAGGAATTAGGCGTGTTTAAAACATGAAATAGCAAAATGACGAAAAGGCACTACGGTTAGCTTACATAGTACTCCGGTTAGCCTAAATTGTCACTGACACAAAAGTTCTGGCTGTCAACAATTGTAAGAGTTAACCCTTGCAGACACGCGTATTCCTCACTGACCCTTACTCGTAGTGCCTTTGCTCTATTTCGTCATTTTGTGTTTTAAACACGTCTGTTAGAAATTGGGGAGTCGTGCGTGATGTTCCATCGTCCTGTGTCAAACTCCATGACGACCGCGTGCCTAGCAACACATGACGTTGTCACACAACATGTCGGTCACGTATGACACTTGCCCGTTCTTTGAGTTCGACGATGAATTCCAGTTTGCAAGTTTTTGCTTTTTGTGTTTCTCGTGTAGCTTTGTATTTGAATCGGATAAAATTCACGAAATTCGTTCGCCGGGGGCATAAAATTAATTTGAAAATTCGTGCAATATTTCTCATTTATTGACGATACGTGTCGATGGATTTCCTGTCGTCGTTCTTTTAAAACGTCTTCAATTTTACTTCAATTAACGTCACATTATTTAACAATGAATAGGGAATTAATTCCAGGTAATTCATATGACACAGAAAAATTCTTAAGGAATGGTTTATGATTCATTTATGATAAAATGTTCATTCGAAGGCAAAATTAGCTAAAATTACCATTTTCTCAAAGCGGAACATTGACGTCACACCATATTAGTTTCGGATTACTCAGCAAGCGTGAAGTCAAGTGTATCCTGAAATGAAAGAGACACATGTCCGAGCATTTTACAATCTTTTGTGTGTTTTTGTCTCACAATTTTGGAGTTGTTCAGTAGAGGTTTTCAATGACTGCAATTCTGAATAATATTTAATAATGACTTGAGAGTTCCGAAAATCATTACAGAAGTCCTTATTTGTTTTAGTAGGGACCAACTGTGCAGCCAGGCCACTATTTTGTAACTTATTAGTCATACTAGTGTAATGGGATGAATGAATCAGCTTCTCTATGAAATTACGCAAGTAAACGGTTCAAAAGTGTTTCATTTGTTCAACAGAAAACTAAAACCGTTTTGTCATGCCGAAATGCAAGGTCACGCTTCAAACCGGAAACTGACCTAAGTAAAAAAGGAAACTGCTGTTGCCATAGAACTGGGAAGAATTCGAACACTTATGATCAATCACGTAGTTGAGAACTATTTTTTGTCTTTTCTTTTTTTCAACTGAAAGTTTTCTCAGTCCAAAATGTAAAAAGTCCAAGTCTTCGCTAGAACAGGCCTAGATATGCCAGGACCTTTACGTTGAGAGCCAAAACCGCACGGATAAAGGTGAAAGGCACCATAATGCTTCGTGACCTAGCACCCAGTAGATCATTCTAAGGTCAATAGCCCATTATAATGTTAACCTACTCATTGGCCATTATTAATTACTTAATTAAATTGCTGTTTCATGTTTGGGTCAGTTTTTAAAATAAAACTAATGATGTAAAATTGTAATTTACGTTTTCAATTTATATATTTAGTTTATATTTTGCGACGGTTTTAAAACAATATATTGGGACTACGTGAAAGCGCCATGAGGCTAACTTAAAATTCTCTGAATAAAAGGAAATAAAAATTAAAACTAATAGATCTGGCATTCTAGGAAACAAACAGGAGAAGTATTGAGAAGTATTAGTGTACGTGGTCAACCTTGGGGGTTCGTTAATGGCCTTCATAAGATGCATAAGAATTGAGTCCATTGTTTCATTCACCGGAATCCTGCGTCAGCATTCCTTTAGATATGACATTCTCGATACTCGATCGACAGAGAACGAGTGACGTTCGAGGTGCACGTAGTGAGTGATTCATCACACAATTTTCTGTTGCGAGGGTCACGTAACAGTTTTAGCCACCCACTGTATAAATTCAGGGACGAAAAGGTCCCAGATCAGTTGTGAACTAACCAGCAGTTAGAGAGCAAGTCTAGAAACATCTTAAGGAAGAAGAAAGAAGGAACCTACAATGCCTGTACAAATTCATGAGACGGGATTTCCATCTTATTCACGCTCCACCAAGGTATCTGAACTTTTGCTATCTTAAAACTCAACTCAGCTCGGAACTAAAGTAAATTGGGCCAGATTTTTTTTATTGAGCTGGTAACATCAAAAGAATTTTTGAAGAGTTTTTTCAAGTTCTGTTTTTCAGTACATTAGTAAGAATTTCAGATTGCGGGACAAAGTGTAGTTAATACCATTAACAAAATATGATTTTCTGAGAGAAACCCATTTCCTTATTACTTATATATCGATTCGTACATTGTAGATCAGGTTTCAGCTAAAAAAAAAAAGTAAAGTCAACAATTTTGTCCAAGCACAATTTTATTCAATATGGCTATCGCTAAATTCCATCTCGTTCTCACTTTTAGAAATCATCCCGCGCTCCACGCGTGTTGGTGATAGGTGGCGGAGTTGTAGGTATGACGTCAGCATTACAGCTTCTGCAGAAAGGATACAAAGTCACCGTTGTAGCAAAAGAGTACGCTTCACCAGTCGCCTCTGGTAAACGCATCACCTCCGAGATCGCCGGCGCTCTGTGGGAATGGCCTCCGGCAGTGTGTGGACGACACACAGACGAGAAGTCACTGGAGAGGTCCAAGGTTTGGTGCATGGACAGCTATGGCAAGTTCATGGAGTTGGCCATGAATCCAAAGGAAACTGGAGCCTACCTGAGACAATCTGTCTTCTACTTCAAGGAAAAGGTAAATGTCGATTTAACAAGACCCATTTTATTTTATACCAGCTTGCATCTGTTGTTAATTCTCGACGATATCTACAGACTCTTCTGTATTTCCTGCCCGACTGAACTATTGAACTACACGACTGAGATATTAACAACATTGCTGTTGCCTTGTCAGGTCAATGATCTTCCTACACAGCTGGAAAAGATGGACGAATTATGTCACCTGCCAGGATTCCGCCATGACGCTAAACTCATTGAAGAAACTGGTGAGTTTGACAAGACTTTTCCCTTGAATATTTAAAATTAAACGATTTTAAGAATTCCCTCTTTCGCACGGTTCTCGTTGAACTTGTTTTCCTTAGTTGTTTGTTAGTTGGTGAAGTAAATTGATTTTCTGACAAATTTAAATTTATCTTTCCACCAGCTGTAAACACAGACACGGGTGTAGTGGACGCGTACCAACACATGGCTCCCATGGTTGACACAGTCACCTACATGCAGTGGCTTTACAAACAGTGTCGTGACAAGGGCTGTCGATTTGTACACGATGAAATTCACGGACTGTTGAGAGATCAGGCAGAGGACTTGAAAAGGAAATACAAAGCACAGCTGATCTTCAATTGCTCTGGACTCAGCGCCAAAGAACTGGCAGGAGATGAAGATGTCTACCCTTTGAGAGGTAAATAACTCCTTTATTTAACTACCGACACTGTACCGATGACCAAGTGAATAGTATGCGTTATGTATGATGTCTTACCGGGAGTATAAATGAAACGTTTTGAAATTGAACTGTGTTCTAATCATGCGGTTGTATTTCTTATAACAGGTGTGATTCTTAAGGTGAAAAATGATGGGAGTTTGATGCCTAAACTCAACCACTCCATGTGCATCTCTCTGATAGAAGACATTGACGAGTCCANCTTTTCTCACAAATTACTGATTTAATTTTGTTTCTCCTTCAGCTGTGAACACAGACACGGGTGTAGTGGACGCGTACCAACACATGGCTCCTATGGTGGACACAGTTACCTACATGCAGTGGCTTTACAAACAGTGTCGTGACAAGGGCTGTCGCTTTGTACACGATGAAATTCACGGACTGTTGAGAGATCAGGCAGAAGACTTGAAAAGGAAATACAAAGCTCAGCTGATCATCAATTGCTCTGGACTAAGCGCCAAAGAACTGGCAGGAGATGACAATGTCTATCCTCTGAGAGGTGAATAACTACAGTCGAACCTCCTTACATCGGCCTCCTTGGGGAAAGGAAAGTGGCCGTGGGGTGGCCGTTATGGGGAGGTAGGGGTGTAATATGACACGCACTTTCTTTCAGGGGTGTAATATTTTCACTTTCTAAAAATATTTATTGTAGCATATAAATACGTAACACAATCAAAATTTATCAATAGAACAGAAACTAAACAGAAACAGAGACCGACGACGCGTGGAACGGATCACGTTTCGTAAAATTTTGCATACACCATTCTTCAGTCGTTGATTACCAAGCCGTTGTCGAGGGTGGGTTAAGGACGACGCCTAGCTGGAAAAAAATGGATTGATATTTTACCAATGAATTTCGCAATTATATAGATCTGTTCATTACGCTGAGTGGTCCAAGACCCTATTCAAACTAAAGATGTAACGCCAGCGATCATGATCAATTCCGGAAAAAATTCGGATAACTAGCTCTTCAAAATACACAGAAATACACATTTCTTGTCATTGTTTTACAGAGGAAGGTTACGAGATGTATAAAGATTTATAACACACGTACATAGCCATTGTTCTGCTCATTAAACCTTTTGTTTGATCACATCGTCGTTGCTTTTGCCGTCGCGGTTTGCCTAAGCTCCCTAGTTTGGCAGTTGCGACGCGCTCTAGTGGTCGTTGCCGTTATGGAGAGGTGGCCGTTGTAGAGAGGTTAAAACTAAGAGTGAATGTACGGACCGTCCGTCAGGACATAAAGAAGTGGCCGTTATAGAAAGTTGGTCGTTAGTAGGGAGGTTCAACTGTATTTCAATTTATGGTTTAGTGCGTTCTACAGAATTCATGCCTGGTCATGATTTCATTGTTCGGTCTAATTCTTTGGCCCAAGCGTAATGAGTTAACTGTTATATGTCATTCTCTTGTCTACAGGTGTAATTGTGAAAGTCAAAAACGATGGAAGTTTGATGCCTAAGCTCAACCACTCCATGTGCATCTCTCTGATCGAAGACATTGACGAGTCTAAATCAGAAGGCCAAAGCTTTGTGTTTATCTTACCAAGAGGTGACGACAAACTTTGGCTTGGTGGCATGGTACAACCCAACCAATGGGACAGAAATCTCACGCTCGATTATCCANGGTGTGACTTTCTCGTGGGGTTGTGCTAAAGAAGCTAGCGCCATGGTGGATCGTGTTCTTAAAAGGCCACAGATTTATTATTCAAAACTATAATTTGTAATCTTCAGAAGAATGACAGTTCATGCAATGCCACTGTTATTTGAACTGAATACAATGCGAAAATATTTATGGCTATCAGGAGCTGGAAGCTTAAAGCCGATTCTTTATGACCAAACAGAGTATAAGACACAGAAAACAAAAAAAGATCAGGGCTCTTAAGGCGTGAAAAGCATAAGGTAGCGTAGTTAGTTGTTTTGTAAATCATCGCCCTGTTAGCAGAAAGTGTTGGAACTACAATTTTTTATAGAGACCATAGAAACAAGTATTAATTATACCACATAACTCAGTGACTGAATCTGAACTAAGCTTATTGTCACAGGGGCATTTATTAAATCCATCAAGACAGGAGGTAAAATAATAGAATCTGACCACTTCAAAACTTAATCGAGTCACGAACTCGTCAACTACAAGTCAGTTACATCTTACGTCTTTGTAAAGGCATATTGATGTAATATTCCCTATATTTGTTTCTCAGCCACCGTTGCTTTGTTTGGTTCTCTCTCTAAAGCTTTGAATCATGTCTTTGTATTTGTTTTCAATCTTGAAGCATTGTGAGACAAACTGTTGTCCTAGTTATAGATAGGACCTAGGTTCAAACTCTATTTTTGCGGGGGAAACCAGCGTTTGAATTTGTTATCGGCAACAAACTTCTATAACGAAGTTTTGGGTGTCCAGAAAAATTAAAATTCGACGGCGTCGCCTTAGAAAGTTTACGAAAAATATCGATTTTTCAGGAGCAGGCTCTTGAACCACAAAAAATATGTATGCAATATTTTCAAAATTTTCTAATTTTAATAAAAAATTGAACTCAGAATATATTTTGGCTGTACTTGTGGTCTGGAATTTCTGTGGGCCTTCATTCCAAGATGGCGGACCAGTTGCTATTTGGCCATTCCTTGTAGTCAAGTATGCAGTCAACTTTTTCAGCGAAGGCCCAACCCCCCGGTTCCATGATCACACTCGCTTCCCTTCTCTAAGAAACCCACAGCTCTTCCTTACCGTTGGGGCTGCGCCTACAGGCATTGGGGTCAAACAAGGTTTGGGCTTAAGGCTGCTGAAAGGTTGTAGTGTCGAAGATGCACAACAAACGTTCTTGGACACATTATATTTTCTGTGGGCATTGCCTCCAAACGGGAAATCTGAACGATTTGTACAGGGCCGTACAGTTAATTCAGTCGCTGTTTTAAGGTTCGCTGTGCTGAGAAATCGAATAGAAAATGGTGTCGGATTAAGCGCAGTGTGAAAGATCTGCGTTACAAAGCTTTATGTGACGTATTAATAAAATGAGACCGTATCTTTGTAGATAAGGTGGATAGTCAAAATATCCACGTCTAAATCATTATAAAACAACGTAAGCAACACTCACATGAACTCCCACGATCCCCCGATCTACCTAAGTTCGGCCCCAGACGGACATTTTTTCGACTCCTTATGGTCCCTTATGGGGCCCTTGGTGCTTTAAAATCTGCCTTTGTTTACCATCATCCATGTCTCACCAGGCGAATGTAAGATAATGTTTTCAAATTGTCCACGTCAGAACTTCCTCGACGAAGATTGATTGTCCATTTGAGGCATATTTCAAGGCACAGAGAGCCCATTAAGTTCGGCCGAAATGGCTGGCAAATTTCCTTTTTTCATGTTTTTCCACGTATTAATTTCTTTGGGGAAGTGAGTGCCATGCTATACGACCCCACGCTTAGCCGTAGGGCTTGCAGGCAACGCTTCTGAGCCTGATATTACTCAAATAATGATAATAGAAAAAAAACTGATTTTCTTAATTATTTGTATAAACCAGGAGCCATAAACTCAAAATGAACTTTCTTCCTTGAAAATCTTCAAATGCAAATGAATGTGTGGACTTTTTCTGGGACTATTTTGAGCGAAAAACACCGTACACTTCGTTGTCATAGCAACAACTCAGAGACAAAGATGGCGACGGTCACGAAGTGAAACGATGGGAGAAACCTACCGCCTGCAAACGATTTTTTGGTGAAACTTGTAAAAAGCCGATTCTGTTGGAATCATAAATATACGGATATCTATCAGAGCTTGACTAAATCTTGTCAGCATGGATGATACACGCATTGAATGGATGAGAAACAAGATGTATCTTGGACTGGGTATTACGGACCCTGAGGTGTTTGACGATTTGTTATCTCGAGAAGACGGACGATACGAGAACGAAATACTGAAATTTCTGAACGAAACTCCAAAGGAAGGATGTACGATGATATTCTACTCCAAGTTGAAGGAAGAAGAAGAGGAAATTGAAGTTGAAGCAGGTAAGTTTATGAGCTACAGACTAGGTTCTCTTTTGGGCGCCATTTTCTGTTACAAGAAAACAATAAAGGGGCTCTGTTTTATGAGGGATTAACATTTTGATAAAAGCGTTTGTGCAGTTGCTTTTAATCCAGGTTATTGAACAGAAGGTTAAATTTTTGCTTCTCAAATTAAATGAAACGAATAGTTATCGTGATTTGTTCCTGTAGCTGTGTAGTTTTACCGCTACATGTAGTGCAGTTCCCGCTATTTGTAACGTAATTGACAAGAAATGTGCAAGCTGCTGGCCAATTTTGAGAGGTCAAGTCTGATGCAAGTTCGATGCTATGAAATAGAAATTTACTTGACGTATTCGAATAAAGAAACAGCTGATTGTCTATTCAATAATGTAATTAAGCTTATTTGTGTACAGTTAACGTTGTTTAGCGAAGTTTTGGCGAGCGTTTACAGTACCTTAATTTAGTTCCTTTGATTTACACCTTCAACTGTTATGCAAGTGATAATGTGCTTGTTATTGTGTTATCCTTGTCCTTGGACTGTACTTGCGTTGCTACTGAAAACCAAGTTTATCTTATCACAATGTAATATTAACACGTAATATAATTGCAGATCTAAGATTTTGTCATATGCTAGGTATAACTGATAAGTGATCAAAGAATAACTGCTTAGAATCACTGAGCAATTAATTATTTTTAATCATTAGATGCCGGAGACAGGGCAGGGGTAATTTGCAGAATGCGGAATGCGGAATGCAAAATGCCAAATTAGCACAGTGTTTGATCTGGTAATTTCACTTCTGTTTGCTTGAGGTTAGCTTTTATTTGTTGGAAAGGACAGGAAAATTATGTTATATTTGGCCCTTTCCAACAAATAAAAGCTAACCGCAAGCAAGCATGAGTGAAACTAACCGCAAGCAAACTGTGTGTTCAGCATTCAGCATTCAGCATTCTGCAAAATACCCCCGCTGCAGGATACTCATTTTTTAAATTGCAAACTGATGAATTTGTGGTAGTAACTAGCTACCTGTATGTAGAGCTCATCTGCAGACTCCTTGGTATTGTAAAAATTGTCAGTTCACTTACTTTCAGCGAGTCCAAAACTCATTTAAATTGTATATGTATAATGTGTGTGTATGTGACTACATACAGACACCAAAATGTATGCCAACACCCTGGTTGTATCGTTTTGATGTCCATATGGACTTTTTTCAGCTACATGCGCTCAATGTACAATGTGTTAATGTCGTTTATTTTTTAAGCAGTGCAAACTGAAATATATATGGTTGCATGCCAATGTGCAGCAAATGTGGATTAGTATTGAACTGATGCATTTGTTTTATTTTGTCCCAAGAACCAGAATTTCCAGAGCTGACGGCCAGTGGTGATGAAGAAGGTGACAAGACATCAACAAGTGGTGCTGAATTGGCTGCAGAAGGTGACGATCTGGTCATGGAGAGGGTTCCCTCTGCAAAATCCAAAGCTGCTGAGGAAACATCATCTGTCAAAGAGGGTTCTCAACCTGCGGAACCTCCACAGACTAATCCCGAGACTGGAGAGGAGACTGCTCCATCTGCAGCTGAAGGAGCAGAAGGTGGTGCTGCAGAGGAAGGAGAAGAGCATCAAATGACCCCTCCACTCCCTAGGACTGTAAGTCACCTTTGTGTATGTTATACTGCAGTCCCAAATGATATTGTAAATTGACAAATGGGCAGTTACACTGTAAGGTTTAATGTATGGGCCTGAAAACACATCACTCACTCACTCACTCACTCACTCACTTGCTCGCTCACTCACTCACTCACTCTTGCCCCATTACGCTGGGCAGCGTGTAGGGCAGTAACATAATCATTTAACATCTGTATGTCCTTTGCCATGACTTGTATGCCGCCCCAGGCCTTTCCCATCTGTCTCATCTTCCTTTTCACCCTCTGCTCCCATGTAATCTTTGGGTGCCCCTCCTTTCCCTCTGCATCAAGACACATACGGCCAAGGGGTACACGTGCATGTACATGTAATTTTATGGTGATATTAGCTTAATCTTCTGACTAAGACAAGCAACCATCAGTTATTGAAAGGTCATCACATCCCAAATAACCACATGTACATTCTTCTTCTCTTGAACTTGAATGTTTGCTTCTGAAATATATTTGCCCAAATGGTTAATTATCAGAATGTAAAATGACAACCCTGTCAGAGTAACCACATTTTGTTTCATGTCTTTCAATTTACAGAAAATCATCATACAGAAAGTTTTAAGGACAGTAATGTATGTTTGTTATGAGCACCTTCCTGAAGACTTTGCAGATGAGAATGCTTTTTACTTTGTACGGAATAATACTGGTCCTGTTCCTCTGCCATCGACACTTGAAGAAGCAGAAGAAATACTCTCTCCTCTGTTTGAGTTTGGTTCACAAAATGGGCCCTCATTACAAATGCTGGAACATCTTCTAACACTGGTGTATATGCCTCTTTTGTCACACAATGGTCAGCGAAATGAGAGTTCTTCTGATAGTGGTAGTCACAGAAGAAGCAGTGTTCACACTGGTGATACAGGCCATGATCAGGGCTCAGAAGAAAGTCGAACAAGGGTTATCTTACGAGATGAGTTTTTGATGAACATGCAAAAATTCGCATCACACATCAGCCGGACAATTCACCAGTTGGAGGGTGATATTCGTCTTGAAATGCCTGACGTTATGCTAGGTGATGACATTGCGGAGATGGCCAAGGACACAGAACTGGTGGCAATGTTGGAGGAAACGCTGCACAACTGGGAAGTGACTATCTCTTCTGCCTTGGAAGTCCAGTTAAAGAAAACACCTCAAGGAAATGGACCTTTGGCTGAGATTGATTTCTGGAGGGAAAGGAATGCAACACTGAGTGCTATCACAGAGCAGTTGAAACTGCCGACAGTTAATAAAGTTGTGGCCATCTTGACTAATGTTCATTCTGACAGTCTAGCAAGCTTCGAGTATCACAGAGCAGAGCTCACAAAATACTACACTGAGGCTAAAGACAATGTGCGATTTCTCTCAACTCTTGAGAGACATTTTAAAAACTTGGCTCATGGTGCAAGCTTCAACATTGTCCTAGAGACAATACCTTCAATGATGAATGCGTTGAGAATGGTGTGGATTATATCCCGCCATTACAACAGAGACGAAAGGATGGTGCCCTTGATGGAAAGGATCGCTTGGGAACTCAGTGAAAGAGTTTCCAAGATTGTCAATGTTCGCACTATTTTCAAGTGAGTGTTTTCATTCTTAGTGCATGTGTATAATTTGGATGTAATTTGCATACCAGCCAAGTGGCCCATTAGGCCGGGGCTTATATCCAGTTTCTGTGCAACATGAAGGGACTAGGAGAATATTTATTTTCTGCCTGATGGGATGCTAGTCCATCGCAGGGTTAAAGTAAAACCAAACGTTTTCAACATTATTCATCATCTCTTACTCATCTTCTTGCCCTGAAGATGACGTAATGTCAAAAACATTGATGACATTGCAACGTCCAAAATGATTGGCGTTTTACTTCTTTTACTCTTTGAAACATATGTTTTTGGCCTTGTAAAACTAGTTGTAAACTTAGACTTTATTGTTCCATGATGGGTTCAGACATTCCCAGTATTGGAGAGAAGCACCAATGACTATCACCTTACATTTGGTCATTGGATTAGGGGAAATACGCAAGTTTCCATGTTTCCTGTTCTTTTTGCTTCCACATAATAATACCTCCAGTTTATCTTAAATTATAATAAATTAGTAATGTTTTTCTAGGGAACCACCTTACCTCATGAAACAAAAAACATCTGAAGCCAAGAAGACCTTGGAAACTTGGAAGGAATCCTACTTTGATGTGAGAGCCAAGATAGAGGCTTCAGGCAGAGATGCTAGGTGGGAGTTTGATAGAAAGCGCTTGTTTGAGAGGACAGATCACATGGCTTCCATCTGTGAAGATTTGAAGGAGGTGGCGACAGTGATGGAGGAGTTTTACAACATCTTTGGACCTGAACTAAAGGCAGTGACTGGGGATCCCAAGCGTATTGAGGATGTGTTAAAGAGAGTTGATGGACTTGTAAAACCCATTGAAAATGTAAGTTCCGAATGTACATGTTGGTACATTAATTTTATACAGTATTTGAGACAAAAATTCAGTCTGCAGAGCAGTAAATTTCTTGCCTTTTCAAGTATTTCCCCTCACCTCTATGCAAAAACATTCAAGGTGTGGCTTTGTGATCTCTGAAATGTTTCCATTTGTTAGGTTGGATTTGACGCCTTCAGTCTGAGGCATGCTGCAAGTTGGCGCAATGTCATGGATTGGTTCCACAGGGAAGTGACAGCCATTGAAAATGAAGCTAGACATTTCATTGATGACTCGTTCAAGACTCTGAGATCTGCAGAGGGAGCCTTTGACATGCTCTTGAACTTCAGACACATAAGATCTCGTGAAGCCATTAACTCACAAATGATGAAGAAGTTTAATGACATCTTATTACAGTTTGGAAAAGAGGTATGTCTTTTTAAACTTGCGTAGAATTTAAATTGTGTTCATCTTACTTTAATTCATGATTTTGATGGTAAAAAACTAGATCATGTTTGTGGAGTCTGACTTTTTTAAAAAAAGAAGACTCTGGAAATCTGGTTGAGAGTTTGGAAAAATCTTGCCATCCTTGGGAGAGGAGTAGGATGTGCAGAGACATGCAATTTCACCAGCTGGGAATAACAGTGTTCTCAGGTCAAAAACCCGACAAGATCAGACATGAACTGCCCAATCAATAAGAAATTTACAGTGATTTAGTGGGAGCAGTGGGAATTGACCCCTTGGAATCCCTTTTTGACACCCTATCTTGAAAACGTATCTGGAACCCAGGACAAATTTTGCTATCTGTGTTTGCTGAGGTTTGTATGTTTCGCTATCAGGTGGATGCAATGTATACACTGTTCAAAGCCAATGCCGACAAGCCTCCAATCTTCAAGAATCAGCCCCCTGTAGCTGGAGCCATCAGCTGGGAACGTTCTCTTTTCCTTCGCATAAAGCACACCATACTGAGATTTCAAGAGATGGAGGACATGCTAAACTCAGAGCAAGGAAAACTGGTAAGACATGCAGTAGTCTGCTACATACATGTATGATCTTTAAGATATACTGAGGAGGTGGTATCTTGGACTCCTAATTGAACAGTCCAGGTCTGAGCACTGGCTGGGGTCAACAGGGTGTAAAGTAGACCAATTTTCAAGCTTGCTGTCAGCAAGTGGAAGTTATGTTGTACTAACTCAAAATGGATTCTCATAGCTCCCAATAACTTCTTATTAGTATGACTGATTGACTTATAATTATTAGTAAATACTAGTTAAAACTATTATTACATTGTACTAATTTCATATCTTACAGTACTTACTGTAAGATATGGAATTACTGTACTTCTGTTATTAGAATTTCTTTAATAATTTCTGCCCCAAAACCACTTGCCCATTGGGCTAATAAAGAACTGAATGCAATAACCTGACTGCAAAATCCACTGACCTTGGACTATTGGACACGAGTCCATTTATATGCATGTCATTCGTCATTGCACTGTGTTCTTCAGCAATACGCTTAGCTCTCACAGTGTCTCTCTCTCTCTCTCTCTCTCTCTCTCTTGGTACTGGCAAACTTACTGAGGGCAACTTGATGAAATGCAGGAGGGTACATGCCATTGGACAAGTATCTTATCCAGGGGGGAGTAGCAGGGATAAGCTCTGATGTTGTGGGCTAGTTCACATTTATCTCTATTGTTTCCCAAAAAAGAGATGTTGCCTAAATTTATTTATTTCATTTCTCCATTACTTTGTTTCCTTTTTGTTAGGCGAGCAAAAAGTATCTCAGTGTGGCTCGACAAATGAAGGAGTATGAAGACAGAAAATATGAAGCATGGAAGGAACAGGTTGAAGCCAATCTCCTGATCTACCTCAAGAAAAACCTGTTGACCAAACCCTCAACCAGCTCTGCCACTACACACAGGAGTGTCGCGGATGAAGGTGCCAGCTCTGAGGATGCTTCTGGTAGCCTTGCTGCGGCTCTACAGTCTCAAGGTGAAGCATGCAGCCATTCTGGCTTGTAAATAGTTCTTAGATTGTATTATGGCTTGTAAATTGTATTGTAAATTAGATTGTAAACTGGCTCGTAAATTAGATTGTATTATGGCTTGTAAATAGTTGTTAGATTGTACACGTCATTTACATTTTTTATTTATGGGAATTGTCACATATAGGGCTAACCTCACAATTTTTCATTTCAAGAGGTATTTTTCTTCGATTTTAAAACATATTTGTATCTTGTGAATAAAGTATTGTATTTTATTTTATTGTATTCTGTTTCCAAGTTTTAACTCTGTCTTGAGTTTTTTTTAGATTCATTGACACATACACTGTAGTTTTAAAAAGCCTAAGGTTATAAGATTCTGTTTTTAAAATGTAGAGATTTTGAGATTACTGTCAGTAGGTTAAAATGTGTCGTTAAAGATGCATCATTTACTGTGAACAATAATCAACCCAAGACTCTTATGCTTTTTATTTCAGCCTCACATCCCAACTTACAGTACATAGCAGATTTTTCACCAGAGTTAGGATTGATCATTATGGAGACAAAGTACCTTGAACAACTTGGTTTCCAGGTTCCTGAACTAGCCAGAAATGTTGCTTTACAGGTATGTCATTATACAACAAATTCTGTCCAGTGTAGATCTAGTTACACTTCCTCTAAAGGAAACTCCCTTCTTAAGCCAGCCAACGCTTCTAACAAGAGGATTGTACAGGGGGGTCTCTGGTACGGTTCATGAACCAAAAAAATGGCGAATCACGGATCACAGATATCAACATTTCTTTTTCCCAAAGCACGAAAATAAGCAAGTAATGTACTCTTTTTAATAACCTGCCCTTAATCTAGAAAAAGTGCTTGAAGAAAGCAAAAATCGAGAAAGGCTGTGAGTAAAAGCTCCATATTGCAAATCGCATACGTAAATCCCTCTCAGTGGAAAAATGAATCTTCCGGAGGACTCGCGTCTCAAAATCACTTAGAACAGAGTAGTGAAATCACGAATGTCAATTAATAATTACAAGTTCTTCATGGGTCACACAGAACCTTCAGGTCATGGAACAGGTAGAATAATTCCTGAAATTCATGTTTCACAGAAAATACATCTAAAATCAGCTAATCATGTATCACAAAAATACGTCTGTACATGCACAACCCTCTATCAAGGCACGAAGCCATGGTCCCAGCCACCCTACAACAACTGCATGTACACTGTACAGGTACATATACAGTGCATGCATAAGCAAACACCTCTTATGTACCACTGTTGCTCAGTTGTTCATTTAATTATATCATATTTTAAGCTAATCCAGGACTTTTCAACACCCTGATACTGGAGGTTTGTTTAGGTTTATTATGAGTCATTTCAAATATTTACACATCAGTTTGGAAACACTGTAGATATACATTGAACATGTACAAGACATAAAGAGAACTTGTTTTAGTTTTCAGTGTTGTTAAGAAACACATTTCAACAAAAGAGTAATTACAAAAAGTAAATGTGATGGTTGAAAACATGCACATATACAAAAGTCTCAAAGTTAGGAGTGTAAAGCTACCTCTTCTGTGTGCTAACTGCATATGCCTCTACTGCCTGCAATTGGCTACCAGTTAACATATTATTCTTGTTGTTTGGTGCACATTTTTCTTGGCATATAATTGTCAAACTTAACTCGAACGTTATACATTGTAGCTTAATTTTTTGGTGTATCATTATTAACTGATTGGTTCCGTATTTTACTAGGAGGAAAAGTACATTAAATATGTGGATGGCTTGAAACTGATGTTGGATAGATACCACACTGTTCTTGGAAGTCTCAATGTCGCAGAGGTAGATGAATTGTAATTAAAAAACTTGCACTAGTCTTGGAGTGATGTGAAGTCCCTGCTTGGTGTGCCAGCTATTATTTGGGTTATATACTGTAGAACAAATAATTAATGATAAAGAGATTGCATTGTTACTTTGTTTCATTTCTATGCCAAATTTGTCCCACAGACACAACTTCTGGAAGATCACATCAAGGAACTTAAACGTGTTCTGAAACCAGGAGCAAAGAGATTAAACTGGAATTCACTTGGAATTAGTGACTACATCACAAGATGTGGACAGGTACAGTTGTAAAATTATGTCTTGCATTGCTTCACTGCATGTACTATATGTAGTCAACATACCACCCCCTGGTTAGCTCAGTTGGTAGAGCACCAGACTGCTGTGTGGGAGGTTGAGGGTTCAAGCCTTAGACTGGACCAACACTCAGGGTCTCAAAATATCTGAGGAGAATGTGCTGCCTTTGAAATTACATCTGCAAAATAAAAACGGTTAGATGTTCAAGTCTTCTCAGATAAGGACCATAAACTGTAGGTCTGGTCTCCTGCATCTTCAGTGTTACATGGTTAGCAGGGGATGTTAAATAACCCACACACTTATCACAAAGAATAGGGCATGTAGGATTCGTGGTCTGGCCTTGTCTTACGGGTTGGTGCTTCACATAGGGTTAACCCCATTGCACCTTTCCTGTCCAAGAAAATTGCTATGTCTATGTCTAAGACCAGAATTCAATTGTTTAGAGCTGAATAACCTGTAAACTGTATGTTACATGTACATTGTACATATTTTGTACCTTTGCTAGGGCTAGGTTGTATTTAGGCTTTTAAGCCCACACATCAGAGGAGTCATAATTTCTTTTTTTGATTTAGAGGCATGACCAGACTAATTTGTTTGTAAAATGTCAACAGGCAATCAGCAAGTTCGAATCACTTGTGAACCAAATCCAAAAGAATGCCAAAGACATAAACAGCCGTCTGGAGATGATCGAGAACACAGTGTTGTTCAAACATCCTCCACCCAAGATAGGAGGGATGCTACCTGATGCTAAGGTGACAAGATCTACAATTATTTTAATTTCTAACTATTGTGGAAACACAAACAGATTACTGTATATTAAAATACATCTGTAACGACTATATTTTAGCCTATGTGAAGATGCCTTAGCTTACCTAGCCAACATTCAACTCTGGTTTCTGAATTTAGCTACAGAGTTTCTGAATTTAGCTACAGAGGTACAGAACATGGGTAGCTGGAGGTTTTGCACCCAAGCAATTTTGCACCCACCAAGTTTGCACCCACATCGACTCAACTAGTGATCAAGTGCTTAAAATCTACTGTATCTTTCTCTTACCGAGTAAGAGACAACATTGTGGGCATAATACAACAAAATCACGCAAAACATGTTTATTTCTCGTTCTTTAATCCATTGAAGGTGAAGATGAACTCGAAATAGAAAGTTTATAATGAGTTCAAGGGTGTCAACTCGGTGGGTGTGAACATAATAGGGTGCAAAACAGGTAGCATTTGCTGCATGTTCAAGTACTTTAGGATTATTGCCATCCAAGCCAGATAGAATGGTACATGTAGTCTTTTGCAAAATGTCATTATTTTTGTCTGGTTGTCCCACGGGTTCGCTGGTACCCATTGAACTATCCTAAGGTGGAGAGAGAGCGATACTGTGAGTGTAATTTTTCTTGCTGAAGAACATAACACAAAGATCCCAAAAATATAATGTGTTTGCATCAGCCAGAATACTGTACATATTTTTTTATACATGTAGAATGATGTCCATTGTCTTACAGCTTGAGATTGGAATTCGAGTTCAACCATGACCTTATTGCAAATTATAATAATCATTTAATAAGTACGATTTTTTAATGTCCCTCATATTTTATTTTCTAGGAATTCTTTGAATATCTTGAGAAAGCAAGAGGTTTGGAGCTTGACAACTTGTCCAGGAAATACCGAGCCATTGGACCACTATTGACAAAGATGGAAGGACTTGTAGTGCACACCAACACAGGCAGATCCACCAAACTACAGCCTTACTATGCTTACTGGGAGAACTCTGTTTATGAAGCTCTTACCAAGGTTATTTTCCCTTCCTTTAATTACTTTATTTACAGCTGTACAATAAATTTTGATCCATGTACATGTATTATTTACACTCTATTGCATGTAGTTGGGTGAACAAGTGCCATTTTTGGCGCATGCTGTTTAGCTCCCAAATGTGCTTTAGCTCAAAGTTAAAACGTTTTGAACAATGAATAAATATGAAACAGCACCAGATGACTAGTCTGTTGAAAAGCTATTTCATTTCATTAGGATTACACTCAAAGGTTTGATTCACACACTAGCTTCTAGGTTGGGACCACCTTGCACTGCACATTAGACAGTACCACATTAAAGACTTTCATTTGAATTACGTCTCACATTAGGGTCTCATCCACAGATTTCAAAGTTTAATGTAGTTAATTCATTTAATGGAGCTCAGTCAAGGCATTTTGAGTTAGTTTGGCCACATACTTGGTCATGTAAAATTACCTTTAAATTGAAGGAAACCTGAAAATAATAGTTTACTACATGTATGATAGAAAAACACCGAAGAGATAATAACAGACCATGAATGAACAAGGATGGTCAATGATAGACAAGATTAACACAGATTGCAAACGACAAACTTGAAAAAAATTAGTCTTCACTTTTCAAGATACACAACCCGTGACGTAGCTCCTTTACGGTTTGACTTGGGAAGTGAGAGTGTTAAAGGACATGTAACTGAAGAGTTTTTTTTAATTACTGGATGACATTTCCTCATTTCAGATGGTGACAAAGAATTTGCAACAGTTTAACCAGCAACTTCATGCCCGCCAACCATTTTTCCAGATAGAGACTGTTCTGTCTGCACCAGAGATTGTCTTGTCGCCTCCTGCCAATGAGATTTACAAGTTAATCATGCAGTGTGTCCGAGACATGGTGGAAGGGTGAGCTGCACAGTAACATGTACAATAGGCGTAATCTTGGTTTTCAACGCCATCTTGACGGGTATGCAAAGTAGTCAGAAAAGTGTTTGTATGGGAATCTGATGGCAAAAACCTTTTTTAAAATATTCAAACATTGAATTTTACACATAGGTGAATCGCAATGTTAAAATATGGTAGAAGATTGTATTCACCAAGACGCTCAGTTAATTTTTCTAATTTTCAATACATTTGTCTGTAAATCTAGCTGGGTAGACACGGTTTGTGGGAAAAAAATTATAGACAAATGTATGGCAAAGTTAACCGAGCTTCTTCTAGCCCAGTTACATCCTTAAAATTTGGTGAATTCAATCTGCTACCTAGTATGGTAAAGTTGCGATTCATAAGTTGTGCAAAATTCAATATTTAAAAAAGTTATTTGCCATCAGATTCCCATACAAACACTGTAATTTCTGACTATTTTGCCTACCCGTCAAGATGGCATCGAAAACTGTAATTAGTTCTATTGTTCTTTCCGTTAATCCTGTGTTTCCCTCATTGCCAATTCTGAAGCCTGATTTCACTATTAATTTATGATTTCCACACAATGCTATTAGAGGGGAATTGTTAGAAAGCTTGGCAAAGTTCTTTGTCGTAAGCTTTTGTTTCCCTTTTTTGTCCTAGACCAGGCACAAAACACAAGATGTGTTAATGCGCTCAACTCTGGATCAAGAGGTCCAGGTTAGAGCCCTGGCTGGGGACATCATGTTGTGTTCTTGGGCAAGACACCTCACTCTCACAGTGCCTCTCTCCTCCACCCAGGTGTACAAATGGG